TATATATCAACACACATGCTACCATATATGTATATGTATATAAACTATATATATATATATATATATATATATATATATATATACACACACACACACACACACACACACACACACACACACATATAGGCTATATACCATAGATTATATGTACCATATGTGCTGATATCTATAAAACAGCATATATGTGCCCTAAATATTTATATTGTGTATAAATACATATACATGTGTTTTACATATATAGTCCACACATATGCAGTATGTATATATAAGCATGTAAGTACACATATATTGATATACATATACAAATATATACATATATACACAAACATATGTATGTATATGTGTTTGTATTTATACATACATATTTAATTAACTTTATCTTTTCATTGATAAAATAATAGATTGAGCTCTGGATAAGTCCTTAGAAGTCAGCTAGTTGATGGTTTCATTTTACAGAGAATAAAACTCATGCCCAGGAATATAAAGTGATTTAAGGTCACATAGCTAGAAAACATCAGCAGTGGAATTTGAACTCATGTCCTCTAGACTCCATATCCAGTGGTCTTTCTGCGATACCACAACAGTTTTCTTAAAGGAACAACTCGTGTTTCAAACTGAATTATGCTGCCAATTTAGTAATTGTTCATTTACCATTCATTAAACTAATGAATTGAATTCCATTCATTAGCCCTGTCTGCTCATCCACGTGTATTCACAACTGTACTATTTCCATTTCTTTCCCTGCCTTTCTGAGGCAGCAGGGAAGAAACCACTGGCAAACCAAGATTTCCTAAAAGGAGAGATAATTGTCAAGGTGGATTACATGCTGAGGCCTGTGTTTTGAGACCCTGTGAGGACACATACCTAGGATATCCTCTGGTACAACATACTGAGAGAGAAAATTAGCCACCAAGTCTTTTTTGACATTTGTATGGAAGCTGATGTAAAATGAAACAGAGTGCTCTTGTTTTGTTTTTGAGGTGGGGAGCGAGTCCAGATTTTACATATAAAGAACTTAGATGTAAAGAACTCTCAATAGGAAGTTTCCTCTATCAATTCATATCAGCAAATATTGTGCAATTTATTGTCTTAGTCTCCAAACTCACTGAGAAGGTTCTCATTTTCCAAGGTCATGCAGGCAATATACATCAGGAATGGGACTTCAATGAGGGTCTTCTCTCTGAAGCCAGCTCTTTATCTACAATACTGGAATTGCCTCCGAAGCACAGTATATTCCAGCAAAATCTCTCATGTCTCATTTATATTAGTGAATGGACACAGAAAATTCTAGTTCTTACATGAAAATTACACTGTCTATATCCTTTGCCCCAGACATCTCACTGGTAAGGCACATACCCTAAGGAGGTCAATGATGCATGCCATTTATACCAAAATATTCATGGCAGCACCTTTTTTTCAAACTAGCAAACCAAGTCATGTGTCCATCCGCTGTGTAATGACTAAACAAACTGTGGCCATGAATATGATGGAATATTGTTGCACTATAAGACATGAAAACTACAGAGAAATATGGGGAGATTTAAATCAACTGATGCCAAATGAAATGAGCAGAATCAGGAGAATAATATGCATAATGACTATAATAATGGAAAGCAAAAGAACCCAGAATTCTAATGATCAAGGTTAGCCTCAGAGAGAAATTGAAACAATATGCCTTCTTTTCTTTATAGAGGGCTATGGGTGGCTAATATCACATATATTGTGAGATTTGCCAAATTATTTTTGTTCTCTTTCTTTTCAGTCCTTGTTCCAGTGAATAGTTTGCTGGGAAGGGAAGAGAAGGATATATTCAGAAATTAAGCTGATATAAAAACAAAAGGCATCAATAAAAATAATAAGATTTTTTAGAAAGAAAATTAAGTTTTTCTTCTTTAAAGCGAATCAGTGTTAACCACTCAATGTTGTAGAAGTCTGACCTCTGACATTTACCAGTTGTTTGACAGTGGAAAAGTCACTTCCCCTTCTCTAGGTTTCATCCATAAAATGCCCTTCCTATTGCACAAAAGTTGTTGTGAGGTTCAAATAAAATACCTACAAAAACACTTTGCAACCCCCAAAGCACTCTATACATGTCAGCTATTATCATTATTATCAACTATTATTAGGCAGATTTAGTCTGATTAGAATCTTCTAAACAATCTCCTCTAATGTACTGAAAGGCTAGATAAATAAATGAACCCAAGTAGCAACTCAAATCGTACCTTCTGTAGGAGGACTTTCTCAATCCCTTTAGTTTCAAGGGCCTTCCCCCTGAGATTATCTCCCAATCTCCCAACTGCTCCATATATCACTTGTGTGCACCTAATTATTTACATATCTCCCCTCCACCAAAATGTGAGCTCCTTAAGGGCAGGGACACTCTTCTTACTTTTCTTTGTAGCTTCAGTTCTTAGCAAAGTGTCCATGCTTTTAAGAAATGGGTTTTTTTAAATTGATTGAATAGCAATATTATTTTTTAAATTTTTATTTTTACTGGGCAGCTAGGTGGCGCAGTGGATAGAGCACCAGCCCTGGATGCAGGAGGACCTGAGTTCAAATACAGCCTCAGACACATAACACATACTAGCTGTGTGACCCTGGGCAAGTCACTTAACCCCATTGCCTGGCCAAAAAAAAAATAAATTTTTTTTATTAAGAACTTGTGAAACATCAACTAACAGTAATATTTCCATATGCTTTTGCATACATAAATGTATGTAAATAGAAAAAGAGTTGAATATGAAACTGTGAACTTCTAGTGTGTAGTTTTTGTGTATGTATTAAATTTAATATGTAGCAAAACTATCCTGCTTGTTAGTGTCCACTTCTCAATTTCCTTCTGCTCTCTTCTATGCATTTTTTAAAATGTTTTCTTATTTAACTTAATTTTCTTTCTTCTTTTTTGCATCACTATCATTACCCAAGGATTGTCCCCCAACCACTCCTTCCCCTATCCCCAGAGGAGTCCTCTCTTGTAACACGTCCTAGAGTGGGTTAAAACAAATTTATACATCGACCATTTCTGGAGATATAACACACCGGAATTCTTCTGGTGATGTTAGATGGCTGTGAGTCGCGGAACAAAATAAACAGTTTTGTTTGAGGACTACCCTTAGGGCAATGTAGAGGTGCATGGTGGCCTGCAGGAGGCTGCAACTGGGCACAAATGAAGAATTACAAAGGTGAAGCAAATATGTCAATGAAATATACAAGCAACAACAACAACTAAAATAATGGTACTGACATGGGAGGGTGTGAGAGAGGCATAGCTTTTGCATTCCATTGGTATCTGCAGAATGTTAGGAGAACTTTGAAGGAGACTCCCAACATGTTGCCTGGACTTTCTACATTGAGCTTTTCAAAAGACGCAGAAAAGAGTCCCAAGATAGTCAAGCAAGTATGATTTGCAACCATTATCATCCTCGTTGGAGATTATATCCACATTGGTGAGATCACAGACCCATTGGGATATCTGAACATACTGAGAGGTAGTGTGATGTGATGGAAAGAACACCGGAAAATCAGAAGAAATTCTAGAAATCAGGAGAGAATTGGGTTCCAATTCTGTCTCTAACACTTGTCACAGGGAAATTATTTTACTTCTCTGACTCTTGATCTCTTCCTTTGTAAAATGGAGACCTGTATAGTCTGCTTCACAGTGTTGTAAGATCAAATGAAATAATATATACTTGTGCCCACATAGTATCCCCAAAGAGCATTATCATCTTAAAGTATTGTATAAATGTCAGTAATTATCAAGCAAAGGAAAAGGTAGATATAGGCCAGTTTCACTAGAATTCTAGAGTGAAGGAAAATACATCTCTCATGGCCAATAATTTGCACAATAATTTGAGGCAGTGTCCACCTTGCAAGGTCTGTGGGAGATCTGTGGTTTTAATATCTCAACCATTTTCCAAAGTGAGAATTGACCTATTTGACGTGACATCATTCTAGGGGCAAATACTGTGTTTATTGTCATGGCAACTCTAGTGATATATCTAGAAAGGAGAAAATAATTAATCCCTCTTTATTTCTCCTATAGGCTATTTTGACAAAGCTCACTTCAATTCATATAAGCTTGCCCTCATCTGAATGAACATTTCTTCTATAAAAGAGATTATGATTAAATTAAATACAGAGGTCTCTGCGTTTCTTTGAGATGAAATGTCTGTGTGTCTTGGGGAAAAAATTACATTTGATTTCTAATACTGTCTTCACAACTAAGAGTACTTGAAAGTTTTAAGTATTTAAGTTTAAACTTTTACCTTGAAACTGTATTATGACTTTTGGGGCACACTGTTTCCCATCTTTTCCCTGTAATTTGCTTCCAATTAAAAATGGAAACAGGTATCGTATAAATTGTTGTGATACTCAAAATCACAAGAGTTACCAGGTTCACTTAATAGCTAGTGAGTATATGAGACAGCAAAGTATAGTAGAACCCAGGAAATTGTTGGCATGAGATCTGAGTTTGAATCTTGCCTCTGACATTGATTAGCTGTTGGACCCTAAGCAACTCATTTAACCTCTCTGAGCATCAATTTCTTCAGTAGTACAATAGAGACAATCATATTTCCACTAGCCATCTTAAAGGATTAAGATAAGGAAAGTGCTTTGTAAAAATTTAAAGTGCAGCTACCCCTTCCCTGTTGAGACTTTTCCCCATTGTAGTTTTGATATATCTCAGGAAACATTTAGAAACTCAGAAATGCAATAAAATATATGTATAGTTTTATGTAATATCAACATATTTTATCTTTTAATACTGTAATATTCCAGACTTCTTCTCTGGTATGAAGGGAGGGTCAAAAATATTTTAAATAAGTTTTCCAGATTACAGGGGGTGCTATACCCCTAACCCCCATGATGTGGAAAGATAACTGTACTATCAAAATGTGAGTTATTACTAGATTAAAAACTTAACAAGCTTTGCCAAAGACTTGTTCACAAGCCAAGGACTGATTTGCTTGCTTGGTTTCTCTCTCTCTTTTTTTTTTCAGACGCTGCAAATGGACATAAACGAGCTTAACATAACTTTGCTTCGGATATTCCGTCAAGGAGTGGCAGCAGCTTTAGGACTCCTACCACAACAAGTTCACATCAATCGCTTAATTGTAAGCTGCCCAGATGTTGTCTGTCCAAATTGCAAGATATCTTTTAATTAGACAGTGTCTCATTACTTAGGGGAGAATTCTCTAGGGCTAAGCCTACCTTACCCTCAATGTAAGCATTCAACTATTCTCACAGAAGTAGAGCTAGAAGGGACCATAGGAATCATCAACTCCAATTCTATAGATATGAGTAAACTGAAGCCATAATTTAGGTTAGTTACCTGAGATCATACAGATAGTAAGCAGTAGAGTCCGGATTCAAATCCAGATCGTCTGGCTGAAGACATAAAACTGTTTTCCATGTACCACACTTCTTAAATTCTACTGAAGGCATATACAATGCTCTCTCTCTCTCTCTCTCAAAAAAAAAGTATTCACAGTGCACTTCTAAGTTTAATTTGCAATATTAACATTTTCTCCATCACTTTCATAAATCTAGATGATCAACAAAACAATTCTTGTTTATAGCTCATATTGAAATTTTAATAATGATGCTAGGAGGTTGATTTGAGCTCAGATCCTCTTGACTCCAGGGCTATACTACTATACTCTACTGTACTGCCTAGCTGCCTCTCCCAATACCTTTCTGCACACATCTTATAAGAAAACAGATTCCCTGTCAATAGAAAAGCTAGCAACCACTTCTTAGGAGTGTTTTGTAATAATTAAAAAGATTCAAGAGTCATAGTTTCTGAGTAATTTAAACATTTTGTTAATAAGGCCAGCAGGATATTAATAAACAGTCATTTGGCCATCTCTCTTAGACCAAAGATAACCATAGGCGGAGGTTCACAGTTTATATACCCTTCCAATGAGGGTGGTTGATGCCACCCCATCATTATGTCACCTTGGACAGGAAAAATATCTCTATATCAGACCACTCTGAGCTATACCAGACTTGGGTTATCTATTTTATTTTTTGGTGCGTCAATCAGGGTTAACTGACTTTCCCAGGATCACACAGCTGGTAAGTATCAAGTGTCTGAGGCCAGATTTGAACTCAGGTCCATCCTGACTCCAAGGCTGGAGGTCTATCCACTGTGCTACCTAGCCATCCCTTGGTTATCTAGACAAAAGGATCTGTCTCCATCCAAACTTGAGTAGAACACAATGTTTTTCCCCACCCTAGATTAAATTCTTTGCAAGGTTGGGTGGAGTCTGAGCAATATTAGAGAGTTAATGCAAAACTATTATCAATAATATCCTTCAAGAAAAGCTGAACTTTTAAAATGAGTTATTTAGAAGGGGAGACCTGAGTCTGATTATTTCTCACAGTTTTACAGGGAATTCATGCTTCAGGTAGGGGTTGGACTAGGTGACCTTTAAGCATTTTTCCAATGCTCACATTCTATAATTCTACACATTAATATATTACCCCAGGAGCCTACTTGTCTGTGTATACACAAATATGTCGTGCTTTATAAAAAATGGTGAAATAATTTATTTTTCTTCTAGAAACAGACATGTCATCCTGTAATGCATATGGGGTTATTAATATCCCCTAAGGATATGTATAAATGTTGTGTATATGTGCATGCAGCACGCATTCTGGATCTATGCTCCCAATCCCTACTCACACTGGCAAGCTAGGTCTCCAGAGCTCTGGTAATACATCCACCCAGGACTCTAGGGTTAATACTGAGGGGCTGATAAGTTTTTTTTTCTAATGTTATAACACATGGACTCCCACCAGTATGCTTCTCTCCATGATTATCAGTTGATATCAATTAGCCAGCCAGATTTAATTTTCTTTTAGAGGTATTTACTAAGATGTTAGAGTAGGAAAAGTCGGTACAAAATATCCCTCCAAAAGACTGTTATTCTCCCACCGTGACATACAGAATCCCCCAAAAGGTGGTCTGCAGCTTATTGGGTACATGTGGCAAACAGATAACTTCTTCATGGGGCCCTCATTAAGTTCCCCTTAGGTATATTGTAACTTATCTGCTGGGCTTCTTATAGAGTTTTGAAGCTGCCTTTTCTCAGTCTTCAGCTCCCAAGGCAGACAACACATCAGCTATTCCAAATATCAAGTCTCAAATCACTTGACCTTCTGTGGTTCTCAGGACCTCCTTTGGTCAAATCAGGGAAGCTAAGGGAGAGGAAAAAAATGAAGCTGGTGCTCTAATCTCCCCTCTCCTGCAAGTAATTCCTTCTTAGCAGCTTGGCTGGGAGGTTTACTACCAGCAAGATGCCAGGTGTTCAAATCCCTGGGTTCCAAATTGCCTTGCTGTTTTATATAGACCCTTCAGGGTATGATCAAGTCTCTCAACCAATTAAAACAGACTTCCTAACAAACCTAATTGAGCAGGCTTTGATCAGTTAGTTCAAGAAATGTCTGCACAAGAATTAAATCTAGATATTGTCTCATCTGATAAACATATCAGAATTAAACGGGTGGGGCCACCCTCACACGTATGCACACAGGGATATAAATATCCTCCATTAACATCCTCCTCTGCTGCCTTATCAAGGTGTGGAGGTGTCCATGGCCCTCCAAGCTATGCCAAGAAAACACCAGTTCTAGAAGTAAGGGCCTGGTGATGACCTGTGTGTCTGTCATCTATGGATCAGCCTAGCTGAGCGTGGAGAAGCTTATCACCAGGTTGGGCACAGTGTAACTTTTTTTTTAACCACATCAAATGTTGAAGACCACCTGTTACCTCCAACACATTTTTAAGCAATTAGCATTATGCTGGTTGCTGTAAATTGGAAGTTCAAAGGTAGTAAAAAAATCCCTGACCTAAAGGGATTTATCTGCAATTCACTTTGACTATCACAAAGAGATTAGAGTCTTCATCTGTGGCAGATAGGTGGCTCAGTGAATTGTGTTACACTTCAACTCATTGAAACCTGAGTTCAAATCTTACCTAACATGCATATTAGCTGTGTGACCCTGAGCAAGTTATCCAACCACTATTTGTATCGGTTTCTCTATTTGTAAATGAAGGATAATAATAATTCCCATCTCCCAGGGTTATTGTGAGGATAAAATAAGATAATATGTGTAAAGCACTTTGCAAATCTTAAAGCATTTTATAAATATTAGCTACTATTATTATTATCCACACCAAGGAAATCATGGTGGATCTTTGCCATATTAAAGTTTGTACACGTGTATAGCTTTAAAAAAAAGCTGTAGTTTAAAAAATGGAAATGTAGAATCCTGTTTATACATACATGCATATAAAAGCTTATGTGTATAACATAAATTATCTTATGCTGTATAATTATATATGATTATGTATATAACATATATAAACATGTACATGTTTTTATGTTTGTACAGACTTTAGTGATCTCATCACTGTCAGTGTCCCTCCAATATACTGACCACAAGGTATTCACACCTTCTTAGACTGAAATCCTTATCCATGGTCTCCTGTAAATATCTCCTGCAGAATATCTCTGAGGGCTGCTAGGAGCCTTCTTCCATGTCTTTTCATATTTCCTGGGAGCCAGTTCAGCTTTTGGACTTTCTGTCACTCTTATTACACAACTTGGCCCGCCTCCTTCTCTAATCACACATTGCATAGAGATCTTTTATTTAACATCTTATGCACAAATAATATGTTCTCTGTACCATGATTAGCAGCTAATCTATCTATATAGATGTGGTTTCACGTCAGAGAACAGCTTAGTGTTGTTGAAGATAATAAATAATTTCCCAGATACAAACCAGTCAATCTCTTTGTTCTGTTTGATTCTGAGCCCAATTCAGCGTCCATCTATTTTTCTGAGATATGTATACTGAAGTATGAACTCAATGAATTGCTTACTCAGTTGCATGCCATAGTCTTGACATCATACATACATGGAGTATGATTTACATACATGTCTAATATATGTATATGTATATACATGAAGAATAACACATATATATGTATGCATCTATATGTGTATACTTATATTCACTATATAGTTACAACTATCCTTTACTAAAGTTGTGCTCCATTTATGTAAGTTTGCTCAGATATATGTGATACACACATATCCTTAGGGGATACTAGCAGCTAGGATGCATTATATCATAATATTTCTCTTTCCATACATCTATATGTATAATACTTATATTCACTATATATTTACAAATATCCTTTACTAAAGCTGTGCTCCGTTTATGTAAGTTTGCTCAGATATATGTGATACACACATATCCTTAGGGGATACTAGCAGCCAGGATGCACTATATCATAATATTTCTCTTTCTAGAAGAAAGAATAAAAAATTATCCTTTCAAAAAAGTATTTTCAGAAATCTCATTTATCCCTTTATTGACAGGAAAAATGATTTTAACATATGCCTCATGTATACTAGTTAAATAACTATGCATGGCTAGCATTAATATAATAATATTCAATCTTCATTCATTGCTGTTGTATTCTATTCGGTGATAGTAGTATGGAAGGAGAAAATAGCTATCCTCAAATAAGAGAGGGTTGTATTTTTTAAATCATACTACCAGCATGGTGTGGATATTCCATTCCAGCTTTGAGATGAATATCTTGGAATATGAGAAATGAGTTAAACACGCACACAAGTAATCGATCACAGGAGAACAATATATATAAAGAGAAATATTGAAATAATTTATTCCATAATGATATTATATAAGATATATAAGAGGGAACACCTTTAGCCAAAATGTTTTCTCTTCTCTTTAAGAAAAAAAAACCTAATGTTAATTATTTGCAGCAGGAAATTTTCTGCTTCCCTTTCTATTCATTTAAGGGAGACAGAAAGAGAAAAAAGGATACAGAGAAAAAAAAGGGAAGAGAGAAGAGAGAGAAAGAATGGCAATTGAGAATTAATTGGAAAGGACCCCCAAACTCATCTAATACAACCCCTATTCAAACTGTGATAACCTAAACTAAATTCTACTTACAACCTATATTATGGGGTTCTATGAGGAACGATGGGGATAGGGATTGGATGGACCTATGATTTCATTGGTAGTGGGAGTTCTCAGATAAGGAAGCTAGAGAGCTTTCTTAGACCAATGC